AACAACTCCACTGGTGTGCCCACTCACAAACAACTAACAGTAGAGCTGCTGGAATATTATTGCCATAGTTCTTGCTTGTGCCAGAGCCCTCAGCCAAAGGAACTTGGCATATTGCTTCCTTCTGTCTTAATTTACTTTGTGCAGAGCTGGTGCCCCTGGTTATTCATTGCACAGCTCCTGGTCCCTGTTGATTCCTCAGCTGGTTAACGAGTGGAACACTCCTGCTGCTGCCCAGGTGTCTTAGACAAGGCGCTGGCATATCCGGATGCTTCCCCAGCTCCTTGCCTCAGGGCTGGAGTGGTGCAACGCCTGTCACCAGTCAGGCTTTCTGCCTGGTCCCAGCTGAGAATGCAGGACAGGCAGGAGAAGCACACATTTCCTTCTCTACCAGACTAGAGTGTCCAAATCCTACCTGGAGCCACCCTGGCATTTTTGAGCACTGTGGAGCAGTGGCTCAGTAGAATGGCTCGATAGGTCCAGCATCAAGACCTGGTTCAATAATCCTCAAGCACAAATTAATGCTAAGTTTTAATCAGGCTGCTGTGGGTGAAACATGCCCAGGTGTGGAAGTGATGTCTAGCATGAAGGGAGGTCTCCATCCTCAGCTTTAAAAACTTTTGTTGGGGAAGTCCCAGCCTACACTCAGGGAGCTGAGGGACCTGCAGGAGGAAGGGACCAAACCACTAATTGAGGTCATGGTCACCAACAAGCAAGAGTCAGTTACTGCTGAGAGAGACTAAATGCACACATGTGGTTTTACAGACATCACCCTGAAGTTCTGACACAGTTTTGTCACCCCCATAGGCACTTGCAGCACGGCAGCAGTAACCCATTTCCCCATGGGCAGCAAACCACTTGGTCCTGTAACACTGTCTTCTGAGAATTAGCTTGTGGTGCTTGAAAAACCCGTGCTGCAAAAGCTCTTCTTCTTTTCACCTGCCAGGTAGATTTAATTTATGGTATCATGACTTTCGGTGAATTATTGATACAGTCACTGTGCTGAGGAACAAAAACAACGGAGTCACGTGCTGTGTGGTGGCTCCACCTCGCTGGTTTTGTTTCATAAGTGCCAGAGCTTCACTCTGACAGTTTTACTGTGGGGAAAAAATAGTTTTCCCTTAGAGATGTTCCTGCCTGGTGACAGAAAGGAATGGGCTCTGGTGGCAGCATCAGTGGTCAGGACATCCAGTGCCATGCAGATGACCACAGGGTCTATCTGCTATTCGATGAGCCAAGGAAACATATAAAAGAAAAACATTTCCCTGTAGTAGGGAGCAGTTTCCTGTTGGTAACCGCAGCTTAACTCTGTCTCATCCCTTGTAATTGAAAAATGTTTTAGGAATCTCTGTGGATCTAAGTTAGAGCCTGCTCCCATTTACACCTTGGGTGGTTTAATGAGTTCAGCAGACTCACCCTGAACTGAGGTGAGACTCTGGCCAGGTTTTCACATCCATATGAAGTAGCTTAAAAATGCCTGCTATATTTCTGGTCTCGGGATGCTTTGCATCCCTAAATCTTCTATCTCCCACAAGAGTGACAAGTTCAGCCCAACCATGGCTTTATATTTTATAGAGGAGTGATTTATATATATATATAATTTTTTATTCTGGGAGTGATTTGGGGGTTTTAATTATTTTTAAACAATGTGAAAGACACAAATAGTGCCCACCCGCCAGCATTGTTTTTGAGTGACATACTGATCCCACTACCACTCATGGATGAAGAAGTATTTGCTTTCTTTTTATATTCTTATTTTTAAAATGTCTTAATAATCCAAACAATGACATGTTGCTTACACATAAATATTATGATGATGTTAATAGCTCAGGTGCTCTGAAAGCAAAATTCTGATTACCTGGAGGCTAAATGTTTGTTACAGGCTGCTCTGTTGTCCTCTTTGTTTACTGGTTTGTTTGTTTTCATGAGGAGTCCAGGATGGTGTTTATGTTTGTGTAAGTTCTTGCCCTCCTATTTGCTTGAGTGCTGAAGGGCTTCACAGGAAAACCATTAATTTAGCCAGTAGGAGGTTTTCACTGTTCTCTCTGAATTTTCTAGAAAAACTCCTGTTGCCTTCAAGGGAAGATGGATGAAATCCTATTATATGTGCGTGATTTCAGAACTGAGAAAACAGACTGTCTTGTGCTTGAGAAGGAAGTAGTGTCAAATCAGCCTACAAATATACCCTTTAAAATAATTTTGGCTGGAATCCTTTCTGATACGATCCCATCTGAGACTCTGAATTTACACAAAGAATGAATTTTCATCATTTTCATGTAATCCTAAAAAAAGAAAATCGGAGAAGGATAAGATACGTCTTGACTTGAGAGTCATAACTGACTCCCTGAGGAGAATGATTTTTAAATGCTTCACTGCAATAGGCACAAAGAAATAGATTATTTTTAGGGAGAGTTAATTAATGAAACCAGTTGGAAAAATGGGGGATTCAAAATAGAATTCTGGCCAGTCATTTGTTCTGCTCCTGGCACGCAGTTAAAATCCCACCCACTGGGAACGTTGTACTTGCCTAGAGGGGAGGCTGGGATACCTCTACCTTCCTGTGCCTTACTTGGAGAATTAAGAATCAAAGGTACCATTAAGTCCTCCGAGTTAATTCTGTCTGAATTGCAGGCCATTAGTTTCCAGGCAATTACTCCTGCAGGGAGCCCAATGACTTGTTTTGGCTGAGTTACATATTTTGGGAGGACATCAAGTCTTGACATAAACAGATGGAGAATCCAGCAGGTTTTCTGATGGCTCCTTCATCAGGTCATCAGCCCTCCACTGTTCAAAAATGTGATCCCTCACTTAAATTGGAATGTTTGGGCTTCAGCACCTCGGCACTAGCTCATGTTGAGTCTCTCCTTGGCAGATGGAGGAATAACTCAGTGCCTAATAATCAGTGCCTAATAGTTTCTTTCTGTAGAGGCAAGATTCACATCACCTTTCTTTTTAATGAAGTGAATTCTCAGGTGCCATGGTTCCTCTTTTGCAAGGGCCTTTCTCCAGTCCTTGACAGGCTTTGGCTCTTCTTTCCTTTTTTTTTTTTTTTTTTTTTTTTTTTTTTTTTTTTTTTTTTTTTTTTTTTTTTTTTTTTTTTTTTTTTTTTTTTTTTTTTTTTTTTTTTTTTTTTTTTTTTTTTTTTTTTTTTTTTTTTTTTTTTTTTTTTTTTTTTTTTTTTTTTTTTGCTCCTCACTTACAGTTTTATTGTCATTTTTGTTGATGTCTACTGTATTCTAGCAGTCTGTCTCTAAGGGCTGAGATAAAATTTCCTTCCTCCATCGCCACTTACTGAGCAGCAACTGAACAAGATGTTTTTTCCCTCATTCTTGTTCAACAGCTTGTCCTATCTCAGCTCTTGCCTCTGTGCTGTCTTCTCAGATATGTGCTGCACATTTGACTTTACTTTGAGAGGATCCAATATTCCTTGTTGGTATTATTTACTACTCATCAGTCTCTGTTTTGCTGGCAAAGTTTAGCACCTTCGACAGATGAAAAAGGGAAATCAGGCCTTGGATCTTTGCCTTAATTCTCTGCTCTCATGCAACAATGATTCCTCATGGAGAGCACGTTTAAGAACAGATTGTCACTTTAATCTAGGTTACTTTTCTCTCTAGTGTCATTTTTGGCTTATTATTTCAGTTTTTTGTTTGTTTACAATGTGTTGTTCAACTCCAGTAAATCACATGCCTTAAGTACGTGTACCGCTAAAACAAACACACGTAAATATCTTTAGCAACCAGACTTTGAGTCTCATGACAGTTCTTGGGCAGTTAAACAAATGCCTTGGCATGCTAAAATGTACTTGCCTGCTACTCAGGGACACTGGGAGAATTAATTAGCTAATAGGCTAGATTAAATCAGACTTGGTCCTTTTCAGACAAAAAAAAATCTTCTCTGGGGTCGACCAGAGTGATACAGCTTCCTACTCCTCCCCAGAGTCGGGTGTTGATTTTGTAAGCCCTGTAACAGAGCACTTTCAGCACAGCCTGTGACAGGAAGGCACTAAGTCCATCTGCCTAAACTATTGTTTAATAAGCAACAAAACCTGGGCTGGAAAGCAATTTGAGGGGCGAAATTAGGCTGCTGGAGCACACCTACCCGGGGCCGAGGCGGGCAGACGGCTGGTACCAGTCAGCTCCAAAATACCCGTGTGGAATCAATAAACAGCACCGAGCCGGGGTGACGTAAAGAGGAAGCCAACTCCATTACCGGCCTCCAAGTCGCGGGGAGTTTTGCCGGCGCCGGGGGGAGGACGGAGCCGCGAACGGGGCCCGTGTGCGTGGGTCTCCCCCGACCGCGGGGGAGTCTCGCCGGGGCCGGGGCCGCCCCGTCGGGGCTTCAGCACCGCGGACAGCGCCCGCCCGGCGCCGCCGGCCCCACGCGCGACCCACCCCGCATCGCCCCGGGCCGCCCCGCCGGGCGACACCGGCCTCACGAGTGTCACCTGCCCCGCGGGTCTCATCTGTCCGCGCCCGCCTCCCTCGCGGTTTTCCATCTCCTCCGATTCTGTTCCCCAAATCTCCCCTTCCCGCAGCTTCCCGACCTTCCCCCCCGCGCGGTCACCTGTAGCGAGAGCTGTCGCTCTGCTCAGACCACCCGGTGTCCCTCCTCTCACTCTGTTTTTCCCCCGTTTTCCATCAATCCCGCGCTGTCAGCGCCGGCGCCTCCGCCTCCTCCTCCCCGCCGGCGAGTGCCCCGACACTCCGTAAACACGGGGCCGCGCCGGGCCGGGACGAGGGGATGCTCAGGCGGGCTGAGGTCCCTCGGGGCCGGTCCCCCGTGTCCCAGAGGAGCCGGGGCGCTGCCCTTGCCGAGCGGGGCACGAAACCGGCCCCGTGTGCGCGGCGGGGGGGGCCGCGGCCGCGCTCCCTCGCGGGGCTCCGGACAGACCTTTCCCGGGTTCGCCGCCTCTTTCCCCCCACCCCCGCTCCCAGAGGGGCTCCGAGGGGCTCCCACCTCCCCGCACGCCTTCCCTCCCTCCCCGCGGCGCGGGCACTCACCGCGGGCGCGGAGCGCGGCGGGCGGGCGATGCTGCGGGGCCGCCACGGGCGCGCTCCCCGCGGGGGCGGCTGCGCTGCTGCAGCCGGAGGGGCGGGGGGGGCTGAGCCGGCACCGCCGACCCCGGCTCCCGGCAGCGCACGCAGGGAGGAGGGAGTGTGGAGGGAGGGGGGAGGGAGGGAGAGATGGAGGGAGAGAGGGATGGAGGGAGGAGGGAGGGAGGAGGGCGCTGCAGCTCCTCAATTATTCAGCGCTTCCCCTCCCCGCCTCTGCCGCATGTGACCGCCGGCAATACCCACGGGCCGTGCCGGGCCCGGGAGACCTCCCTGCAGGGGGCTGCCGCCTCCCCTCCCACCGAGTCCTTTCTGCCTGCCCCAAGTGTCCTGGGGGCTGCAGACGGCATCCCCCAAACTGTCTGGCTGCTGGAAAATAACTCTTCTGGCTGCCTCCCCCAGAGCAGAGCTTCCCTCACCCCAGGGACAAAACGTGGGGAGCCTGCTTTTTGTTTTCTCCTTGAACTGCACTGTGAGATTTGGGTGCTAATGCCGTAATCCCGGAACAGACAGAATTAGGGCTAAAATAATGCCTCATGCACTGCAGCATGCCGTGTTGTCCAGCCCTCGGCACGGCACGGCTGGGAGGAGTTAGGTGTCAGGTGCAGGATGTGTTTAATATTTTATAGCCAGAGCTGCTTTTCAGGAGAGCTGGAATTCATGTTCAAGATTATTTCTTTTTGCATTTTTATTTCTTGATTCTCGGAGTTTGGTTCACTCTAGATACGCTCCCTGACCGTATCTCTGTTGCACCATTTTGACATCAAATCCAAACTGGTTTCATCTCCAGTGATGCCTGGTGAGGATCAAATTTCAGTCTCTGTTACAGTTTCATGCTAGAACTTCTAACAGGACCTATTCCCAGTGTGGGCTGTGTCTCGAGTGGAGAGAAACTTTTCATTCTCTAAACACTGAAATGAATGTCTGCTTGTAAACATGAGAGATGGCATCCTCCAGCGGGATCAGTTCGGTTCTGAAGTCAGTGTTTGCCCAGTGTGAATGACTCTGACAGGAGCTGCATCAATGGCAGTGACCTTCTGGGGACATACAGACAGTGGCATTGCACAGATAAACCCAGCCAGGGTGGGGGTTGGATTAGGTGACCTTTAAAGGTCCCTTCCAGCCCAAACTATTCTATGATTCTATGTCCATGATCTTGTCTTTGGCCAGGATAGCAGACCACATGCCATCTCTGATATCCTTTGTAGCCTTGATTTCTGTGGCAGTTTTTGTGGCTTTCCAGATGAGTGCCGTCATTTTCCCAGTTTCTTACCAGACTCTCTCCAGTTTAGCTTTACCTTGCTCTTTTCCCCCCTCACTGCAGTCTCTTTGCAGCCCCTCTCTTCCCAGACAGGAACAGAAAAGACCTCTCCCAGGTTACTGCTGGTCAGCAGAGGTGTCATCACAGGATGACAGGATGCTCCATTCCCTTCCTGTCTCTGTGGCCAGCACTCATCCTGTCGTACAGCACACAGCAGAAAAAACCTTGTTGGAGCTAAAGTACAGCCAGCTGATTACCCTCTTCACAACCAGCAGTTTTTAAACCCTTTTTTATTATTATCCTTATTCTTTGATTGCCTGAAAGCAACACTGAGAGCTGCAGCTGCTCTCCTGTCCCTCTCTGTCCCTCCCCAGGCTTCCTGTTTGGTTGTTGTTTCTCTTCTCATTCACTGGCTTCCCCACCTGCTTTTGCTCAGTCCATGGACACTGGATACAGCTGATAGCAGGAGCTTTCCTTGGACTAAATCTGTGCAAAAGTGAAAACCTTCCCCATTTGTTATTGAGCCTCATTTTGCAGCACTTCTAAGACCACGGTGAACTCCATCTGACAGCACCACCAGCCTGTTGTGCTCAAATCCAACTCCTCAGTGCTCGTAGAGTGTGTGAGTAAAGGACATGGGATGGTTTGTTTGTGACAGGATTGTCAGTCTGGCCAAGTTTCAATGGGACTTATCTATGCATTTGGGTTCAGAATCAATTGAGTCATATTTACTACTTGGGGCTTGCATATCAGAGCACGTGAAGTTTGGGGGCAGTTTCATTGGTAGCAGCAGAGAGAGGCTTTTGTGTCCTCTTAGGAAACCCTTGTAGCACCCACGTTGGTACAAATCACTGTGCAGTACCACGATGCCACCCCCACCTTCCACCTTCTACTGCTCAGAGCTGCTGCTCTGGTAGACTTTGCTGTGTAATAGCTTCACAGATCCTGTTTTGGTCCAGCCTTGGTCTATTTTGTGTGAGTTTGTCTCTGTTCTATCCAGTGGTACCTGCTGTTTGCTCCACAAAACAACCTGCCACCACTTTGAGTGATGAATGTTGCAAGCGTTTTGTCAGAGGCTCACTTAGGGCCTTTCTCATTAATCTTTACCCCGTTCTCATGAGTTTTGTAACGTCCAATCTTGCAGAAAGATAAATTTCTACACCTGCCCCTCTAATGGTTCCCTTCAAGGTGATTAAATGTGGATAAAGAACCGAGTGGGGACAAGTTACCCTCTCAACAAGTCCCATCAGTGAGGTCGCCCTCAGATTAAGGTGAAATTTTCCACAGCAGCCAAGCACACGATGATACTTTCACAGCAGAATCTCTTCTGTTCCCAGGCACTGCCCACTTTCTAGACCAAACTAATTTCTGCCTATTTTTCCCTAACAGCAAGTGGCCGTCTGACTAGTAATTTAAATACTTAATCCTATTTTGAATTTGACCAAGGCTTTGGCCTCAATAACACCTTGTAGCAGGGATCTCCACCAGCTGCTATCTCATTATCTCAGCTGTTTTGCTTATCAGTGTTTAATATGGCCTTTCCAATTTCGTGGGACATAGGTTTCTTTTTTTTCTTTTTTTTTTTTTGTGACTCTGAATATAGAGAGAGGAGAAGCCAGCAGAATCCATCCAATTGATTTCCTTTCTTCCTTTTATTAAAATGTTTGTTTGCCTCCTTCATAATCCCCTCATACTTGTCTCATCGGTGACTAATTAATCGTGCCATTTAAATACCATTTAAATGGTTCCTGCAGTTTTCTGGGTTATTTCTCTGCCTGCAGAGCTTTCTAATAGGACAGTCAACATCTTTTGGCCTGCTGACCTCCATCTTCTTCCAGGGCTTCCAGCATCCTCACCTCATGAGCCCTCTTTCTCTCCATGCAACCTCCCCAGGGTGGAAATCTCTAATCCCTTTAGTTTGATGGGGTTTCCTCAGTGCTGCTCCTCAAAATGTTTTGACATTATCAAAACTGACTAATGGGATGCTCAAGTGTGGGTTTGCATCAAGGTCCCAAAGTGTGTCCTTGGTCACGCCATGCCATTTTTGTTGGTTTTACAAAGGTGCATTCGTTTGGGTTATGTTTCCAAGCAAAAAATCATTTCAAACTGTTTGAAAGAACCCAGAGCACCTTTCCCTTTCTCTTTCCATTTCTGTGTCCGTGTGTGCTGCCTGCCGTTCCTCCAGCAGCTCCTGTTAGGCAAGCAGGGCACAGCCTCTATCATACACTCATCATTTAGCAAAGGTGGTTGCAGAGTGTCAGCTGGCTCTTAGGAACAATTGATATTTCATAGAAAAGCTCTTCTGTCTGCAAACACCAGGTTGCACAGGGACATTGTATTCAGCAGCCACTGGGATGTAGGGGTGGGAGCCTGTTAGCCCTGCACCTGCTTGCTCTGCATGCCTGGGAGCTCATGTCCACGGCTTTGGCAAGTGTTCCCTTTCTGGTTTGGTCTGTACCATCACAAGATACCTCACTGAACAGCAGGATATCCCAGACATTCACTGCAAAATTCAGCTGACAGTGTCTCCGAGCCCATACCAGGTGGATCCCTGCAGAAGTGCCAGTATTTTTAGAAACAGAGCCAGAATGCACAGCCACTCTTTTTCTTCCTTTTGCTTCAGTTGGAACCTCAGTGAGTACCTGTAGGGGTCAGAGTGATGGAGGCACTAATGTAGGAGGATAAAAGAAGGATTAATCTTGCTGTTTCATCTCCTGTGGGTGACTGGTGCCATGATGAAAACCAGCATGAGGAAGGATGGTCCTGTAATTAAAGCCCTGACCTGAGACTTAGAAAACCTCACTTGGGTTACTGGCTCTACTACAGGTTTCCTGGTTGAGCTTCAGTGTTCTTTGTGTCCCAGTGCTTTGAAACGACAGTGGAAGTATTGCCTGGTCTCAGGGAGTGTGTTGACTGTAATTTCTATGGGTGAGGGATGGTCTCGACATGTTTTATGGGATCTTGACCTCACTGGGACACTTCAGCTGGGCAGATGCAATTAGCTGAGCAGCTGGAGGAAAGCGCCTGGAGTGCTGAGCTGTGCCTGCCTCTTCCCTGACCCTATGAGCTCTTACCCTGATGCACAGGGACTGCAGCCCCGACACTGCTGGGCAGGGGACAAGCCCAGCACTCACAGGGCACCCTCTTCATTGTTTAAATTACTTATCTGTAGTGGAACTGGCCATGGGATTAATTTATGCTTAGGACAATGGAAAAGGTTTATTCTGCATTGCTAAGTGGCATCTTGGACAGGTTGAAAGGAAAAACATCCATATGGATATTTTTTGTAAACCCATATGAGGTGCTTCCCTCTGCAGGGGAGGGAAACCTCGGTTGTGCCTGGATTTAAACAGAAACTGGGGTAATCCCAGCAGGTCAAAACCTGGGGTTGTTCTGCCATTTGATGTTGTACAGCTAAGGTTTCTCACAGCCTCTTTCTTTCTTGCTCCATATCATCCATGCCAGGTTGAGCAGAGAAGATGGATGATACATCCATCAGACACGTTCGCTGTTCAGAGGCACAAGGGGAGGTGGAGAATTAAAGAAATCCCTTTCAAATCCAAATGTGACCATACAGTGCAAGTCCAGTTCCAAGCCTGCAAAAGAAGTGACGCCCTTTGGTCGTGCTGTCCCTGTCCCCAGCAGGGAGCTCCCACTGGCACTGAGACAGCTGTGCTCACCTTGGCCATGGGTGCATAAAGAGCC